GGTGATTCATATTGGGATCTTTGGCTCAAAACACATCAATGTCTCCATGCAGTCCTAAGAAAAGAAAAGAAAGAAGAAAGAAAAGAGAAAATCCCACTAAAAAATAGGCAGAACTAAACAGACGTTTTTCCAAAGAAGACTTCCAATGGTAAACAGGTACATGGAGAAGATGTTGAACATCACTAATCATCAAAGAAATCTAAACCACGGGGCACCTGGGTGGCTCAGCGGGTTAAGCCTCTGCCTTCGGCTCAGGTCATGATCTCGGGGTCCTGGGATCAAGCCCCACATTGGCCTCTCTGCTCAGTGGGGAGCCTGCTTCCTCCTCTCTCTCTGCCTGCCTCTCTGCCTACTTGTGATCTATCTCTCTCTGTCAAATAAATAAATAAAATCTTTAAAAAAAAAAAAGAAAGAAATCTAAACCACAATGAGTTATCACCTCACACCTGTTAAAATGGCTATCATTAAGAAAAATACAGGTAACAAGTGTTGAGGATGTGGAGAAAAAAGGGCACTCTTACGCAGCATTAGTGGGAATGTAAATTGGTAGAGCTACTATGGAAAACAGCATGGAGGTCTTTAAAAAATTTAAAAATAGAACTACCATATGGTCCAGCAACTCCACTCTTGGGTATATATCCAAAAGAAATGAAAACAGGATATCAAAGAAATATATGCACTCCCATGTTTACTGCAGTATCATTTATAACAGCCAAGCTATGTAAACAATTTGTGCTCCTCAACAGGTTAATGGAAAAATAAGAGATGTGATATTCACCCCCCTCAACACATACAGGAATATTGTTAGCCATGATAAAGAAGGAAGTTCTGCCACTTGTAACAAAAGGATGAAACTATTTTTCATTTTCATTTTTAAACATTTTTTAAAAGATTTTATTTATTTATTCATCTAACACAGAGGGAGAGAGCATGAGCCACGGGGAGAGGCAAAGGGAGAAGCAGACTCCCCACTGAGCAGGGAGCCCAACTAGGGCTTGACTTAGGAACCCGGCGATCATGACCTGAGCCAAAGGCAGATGTTTAACTGACTGAGCCACACAGGCGCCCCGACAGGAAACTTGGTGGCATTTTGTGAAATCAATTAGGCAGAGAAAGACATATGCTGTATGATCTCACTTATATGTGGAATCTAAAAATGCCAAACTAGTGAGAATAGAGAGAGTAAGAAAGTGGTTATGAGGGTCTAGGGGGTGGATGAGTTGAGGAGATGTTGTTTAAAGATACAAACATAAAATCGGTAAATAAATAAATCCAGGACATCTAATGTGAAATTAGTGATTTCACTGATTAGACAATACTGTATTATAAACTTTAATATTGCTGAGAGACTAGATCTTAATTGTTCCTACCACAAAAAAAAAGAATTGTAAAATGTGACATAATAAATGTGTTAGCTAATGTTTCAGTGGCAATTATATTGTAATATATAAATGTATCAAACTGACACATCGTACACCTTAAATTTACACAATGCTCTCTTATGCTTCTTCCATTGCCATGAGTAAGACATGTCTAAGCTAGTCTATTGGTCCCAGGAGAAGATGAGCATACAGAGCAGAGCTGTCACCCTAACCAAGGCCAGGCTAAATCAACCAGTCTCCAGCTACCCACTAGACATAATGAATGAGTCTGGTCTCACTGAGATTAGCAGAACTGCCCAGCTGAGCAAATCAGGATCACCTAAATTCCTCACACACAGAAAAATAATTTATAATTTTAAGCCACTGAGTTTTAGAATGGCTTGTTACTCAACAGAATTGAAATAATTCATTTTGTTATTCTTTTATCTCTTTTTGAAATCTGTCAGCTACTACCTTGTCAAAGATTTTTAAATTGATGTTTATAAGTGAGTTTTTTTTATGTCAGACTAGACTATTTTTTCCATCATCAAGTCTTTTTAATGACAATCTCTTCCAATTCTTTTTTATTATTATTATGTTGTTAGCCAGAAAAAAGTGAGATTTTTTATAAAGGTCTATATTACATAAACTCATTTGGATTTGGATATCATTTAATAAAAAGAATATTTCTTATCTATACTTTGAAAATGTTTAAGTAGCATTGGAATCATCAACTTATTAAAGGTTTTTATTGGGAGGGGCATCTGGGTGGTTCGGTCGGTTAAGCATCCAACTCTTGACTTTGGCTCAGGTCATGATCTCAGGTGTGGGATGGATCCCCATGTAACATAACATCTCTCCCTCTCCCCTAATCCCCCTTAAAAAAAAAAAAAGTTTTTTGGGGATTCTTCTGTGAAAACATACAGATATAGTGCTTTTCTTGGGAGGTGACAGGAGCACTTTTATAATTTTTTCTATTTTTTAAAAAAGATTTTATTTATTTATTTGACAGAGAGAGACACACAGTGAAAGAAAGAACACAAGCAGGGGGAGTGGGAAAGGGAGAAGCAGGCCCTCCACAGAGCAGGGAGCCCAATGTAGGGCTCCACCCCAGGACCCCGGGATCATGACCTGAGCGGAAGGCAGACCCCCAACAATTGAGCCACCCAGGCCCTTTCTTTTTTTTTTTTTTAAATTCATTTTTTTAATTTGAGAGAGAGAGATCAAGCACATGAGTGGAAGGGGCAGAGGGAAAGGGAGAGAGAATCTCAAGCTGATTTTGTCCTGAGCGCAGAGCCTGCAGCAGGGCCTGATCTCAAAGATCCTGAGATCATGACCCCAGTAGAAATCAAGAGTCGTTCACTTAACCAACACCACCACCCAGGGACCCCTAATTCTGCTTGGGACAGTTTGGGTAAAAATTCTATTTTCCTAGAAAATTAGTTATTTCAACTAGATGTTTATACATCTGTAAACTAGATGTTTATATTCATTTGCATAGGGTTATACAAATTAATTTTGAAATTTAAAGCAAATATTTTAAAAAATTTCCCATTTGGATGTTTATTTCTCCTTTGCAATATCTAATATTCTGTATTTGTACAGTCTCCTTCTTAAATAAGAGGTTAACTTTGTGATTTGCTTATTTAGATAAACTTTTTAATTCATTTGTTGTATTTATTTTCTGTTTTCTACATGTGACGGAAATATCCTAAGGTATGGGTTATACCCAATGAGTCACCCCTTGAATGTGGGCAGAACTTATGACTTGTTTCTAACCAATAGAATGTAGCAAAGGTGATGGAATATCAAGCATATTATTATGTTACATTATATAAGACTGGATGTTAGCAAACAGGAGAGAGACTCTCCCACTGGCCTTGAAGAAGCAGTGATGTAAACTGACTATGGGGATAGCCACGTGGTGGGGAATTATGGCCCTTTGGAGCTGAAAGAGGCCTTAGCCAACAGCCTGAAAGAAAATAGGAAACTCAGTTATACCATTATGGAGATGAAATCCACCAACAGGCCAAGAGAGTTTAGAAGTGAATTCTTCCTAAATTAAGTTTTCAAATGAGAACATGGCTCTTGGTATACCCCTTGACTGCAGCCTTTGTGAGATTCTGAGCGGAGGACCCATCTAAGCTCTGTCTAGACTTCCATCCTATAGAAACTGTGAGATAATATGTAGCAGCCATGAAAAGCAACACGGCCATATGGAATGAATACACTACCTCTGAGTTTCTGCTTTTACTTTTTGCTAGCTCTTACCTTTTTTCTGGTTACTTTCTTTGTGGTCTGCTATTTTGAATTGAGTGTTTAATTAACTTATTATTTTTTTAAATTTTTGTGTATTTAATTCTATGACTTTTCCACTGATAAATGCTATAGCTGTATTTCATAGGTTTTGATATGTAATGTTTTCTGTTAAGAAATTCTGCATTTTTTTTTTTTTTTGGGTCCTGGATTTTCCTATTAAGAGCTACTTGATAACATCTTTCTATATTTCCAGATGGTGGCATCTTTTTGGTCTTTTTTTTTTTTAAAGATTTTATTTATTTATTTGAGAGCGAGACAGTGAGAGAGAGCATGAGCGAGGAGAAGGTCAGAGGGAGAAGCAGACTCCCCATGGAGCTGGGAGCCTGATGTGGGACTCGATCCCGGGACCCCGGGATCATGACCTGAGCTGAAGGCAGTCGTCCAACCAACTGAGCCACCCAGGCGTCCCTTTTTGGTCTTATTTTTAACTTCTACTTTATTGCATGTGCTAAGTGAATATTGCTTATATTATTTCTATTTCCTGGAATTTATCGAGTATTTCTTTGAGGGCTTGCAAAGATTTCCCAAATTTAGGTATCTGGAAAACCTCATCAGACTTCACAGAACACACTTATTCTCTAGGAACATACTTATAGTGCATACTGAATATAGCTTTTATTTAAAGACTAAGGATATAGTGCAGCAAAAGAAGAAGAGTACAGACAAAAATTAGGAAATCCAAGAGACATTCCATGCACAAGCTCCCAGGAGTCCTCATTTACATACAGACTGCTCTCTGTCACGGGATTACACAACCACAATCTGTGTCAGGAATCTCAGCATCAGGGCTATTTTAAACAGAAGTTCTTAATGAGGGTGCATGTGGTTGGTGGGGAGGATGGCGTTATATCTGTAACCATGTGATCAAGCCAGGCTGGAAAACAGTTTATTTAGATCAGTAAATAAAATGCTGCTGGGAGTCACTAGGGGAGTTTCAGACTTTAAAGAGCACATCATAAAGGTTTTTACCCTGGCCAAAATTCCAAACATGTACTGCAAAAAATATGAACCTTCTACAGTTCAGATGTAAATCAACTCTATCCTCCACAGGGCAAATATATGTGACCAATTTTTGTGAATGTTCCGCGTGCATTTGAAAAGCCAAGTTCTCTATTATCTGGGTTCAGGATTAGATATAGTTTTATAAGATTTACCTTAATATTCATGTTGTATATGTCTTCAATCCCCTTGCTAATTATTTACGCACATGACTGATGATTAGCATGCATTTATTTTTTTCATCGTACCTCCTACAATTTCTATAGGAGAGTTGTTAAGAAGTCATTGGTATTGGCTGCTCTGTATTGGTATTGGCTGGTATTGGCTGCCTGTTTTAATAATTTATATCTTTATGGTACATTAGTGACTTTAATAATATAAAGTATATTATCTCTTTTGATGATTTTGAGTCCATAAATAGGCTCATACTCAATATGGGTTTTTAATATGTATTTTCCTATTCATTTATATTTACACATTCCGAATTGTTTTGACTCGGTCATATTTCTAAATCATCATAAGAGTTGGATTTTGCTCTGTTTACTAAACTAAAATCTTTTTAATTTGGCTGATATGTTAAGTCAATGCTGTTATATTGTTTTATGGTGTTTGTAAATTTGTGTGTATATTTTCTACTTTATGTTCTATTTCCTTTTATACTATCTCTTTTGCTTTTCTTTTTTTCCCCTTAAGTTTATTTATTTAAGTAATCTCTACACCCAACATGGTGTTTGAACTCACAATCCTGAGGATCAAGAATCCCATGCTCTTCAGACTGAGCCACTCCGGTGCCCCTATACTCTTGGTCTATTTTAGGGGAAGGGGAAAGTATTATTTAAGATGTGCATTCCTATATGGCTTAAAATCTTAAGCACGTGTTTATCTTCTATCTTTTATCACATCAGTCATGTTATCTATCCCTCTTCCAAATACCACTGTAGTATCTAAATTTATGTTGCCGTTATTACACATGTCCTTATGATTGCAGCAAATTGTTTCTTTCAGTAAGTCATGGTATACTTGAACCATTCCCTCTTCACAAGGTTTACACGACAGTTCCGAATAACGATACAGAGCTCTCCCTAAGGAGAGAAAAAAAGCAAATGTGATCACCTTGTTTAATCACACCATCTTCCTAGCAATGACATCTCAGAACCTCACTGGTTTTCTGTGGACAGGAATGACCCCCCAAAGCTGTGCCTACATTTCATCATCTCTCTAGACAGGACCAGACAAAAGACATCTGCCTCCCACTCAGGCTCCACACCAAGTAGTTTATGAGAATTCCACTTTCCCCAGCCTCTCCCATGGTCTCAGTTAAGCCTCCACACCTTGACATCAGGGAAGGTGGGGACCACTGGTACAGTTTTGTGTCTCTCTATAACCTACACTTACCAGTAATTCGATCAACATAGTAGTAGTGATCTATGGTACAACTCCTTTTGTAAAATGTTAGATTGACTTTCCAGCACTTTTTCAAGCCAGTGAGGCATTTGTATCCATCAAAGCGGGCACATTGATAGCAAAATCGAACCACTAAATAAAGAGAGGAAATTTTAAAGCAGAGCTCTAGGTTAAGTAATTCAGCTTCAGAAGGCTATCCCACTATCAAGTTACACTGGCAAGGTGTAGACCTCACAAGAAGGAAGCTGACAACCTCCCCAGCTCCTGCCTGGGGTCCTCACTCCCTTGAGTGGGTGACAGCTATGACCCCAGGATTCAAGCCTCCTCCCTCCTTTGCCCAAGGCCGGGGACAGAAAAAAGACACGAGAGCAGTGAGTGAGGGGAGTGGAATATTTCAGGGAGGGTAGAGAGACAATGTTTGAAAAAATCAGGAGTATCCCCTCTCATTGCGGCATTATTTATCCAAAAACTGCAAACCAACTGCGCCATACATCTCGATGTCAGGACTCGGTTTCCTATGAAGAGAAGAAGAAATCTCCTTAAGCCATTGTAGAGCAGCCCAAAAAGTCAAGGTTAGAAACCACCTTCCTCTTCTCCCCACATAGGCTCTCGCCACCCATCTCTGCCTCCCTCACCAGGCTTTACCTTCATCCATGAAGAGCACTGTGAATGTGCCCAGCAGAAGCAACTGGAACATCCTGGGACCCATTCCAGGGATGATCCCAGTGGGAGGCTCCAGCTCTATTTATTCCCATCACCTGCCCTCAGGCATCCCACTAGATCACAGAATCATAAATTTCAGATCAAGCCGCCTGAATCCTCTCTACAATGTTCCCAGGAGAGGGTACATCCTGTCTGCGTTTGCATGCCTCTAGATACTCAGAACTCAGCCATCCAGAAACCCTCTTTCATTTTATTAGATCCAGCATGAGGTACTCGTTAACGCTGGTGGAGAATCTCTCTCGCTAGTACCTCTTCACTTCCCCTGTAGTTCTGGATGTTGGCCTACAAAGAGCGTGACTAACCCCATGTCCGCAAGACAGCCTTTTCCACATGACAGAGCTGGGATCACTGAGCATCTGTGATGGAGCTGCTCAGGCCCCTTCAGGTAGAAGCATCTTGGACACTGGCCTCAGGGCGACCTCCAGCGGTACTATCCCCCCACCCAGCCAAAGTGGGTCATCAGGACCAGAGCCTGGGACTATAGATGTGGTCCACCTGCCCAGTGTAGCACGCCTCTGAGAGACGGATGGGGCAGTTCAAGAAGCGGTGAAGAGGTTTAGATCTGTGTCCCTTGAGCTTTATTCATTAATTTGTCCAAAGGAGACAAAGACCAGAAATGATTACAGTGGGAGAGACTTACACGGAGCGTTGACGGGGAGAGAGGAAGACATATTTGGATGAGTCACTAGAAATGGATTGTGAGGGAAGGAAAGGAGCAGGGAGGCCTGGAAAGGGGTTTTCCCATCAGTTCTCTGTCTTTGCCTCCCTTCCTGCAGATCGCGCCCGCAGGTGTCCCTCCCTCTTTCATCCACGAAGTGTCAGTTGATTAGTGAGGCTCGCCAGCGCACTCCCGGCAAACACGAACTATCTGTATGTATGTGCAAAGCTCCCTGACCACACTCGCCCCGTCCCATTCCTGTTTTCTCCCAAGTGTTTGGCCCGGTTTGTCATTTGATGGCTTTTCCTTATTTATGTTTTTTGTCTCTTGCCCTCTCAAGGACGAAAGTGCCATGAATGCAAGATTTTCCTGTGTCATGTCCACTGCTCTCTCCTCAGCACCTAGAAGGATGCTTTGCACCTCTCAGAAAATCAAACTATCTGAAAAAACATGAGTGCACTGTTGTCAGAGTTAACCTGAGAGGCACAAGGGAACGGTCCCGCCATACGGACAGCCCCTAATTCCCAGATCGCAGGATGACAGTCCTTGTCTACTTTGCGGTTGGTGGTCACCACACAGAAGACAGGCATGGGTAATGGCAGCTTCCCGTCTTCGGGGAAGAGTGAGTGTGGGGCCCATTTATCTTGACTGGGCTCCTTCCCAGAACCAAACGCAGGCTACCCTAAGTGCGATCCCCCGCATAATCTTCCCTCTGCATCTGGGATGGAAGGCGAAGTGTGCTACCTACCGGCCATGGGATCTTCAACAAGTTTCTCTCTTCTCTGTGCCTCTGGGACCTCACAGGTGGAAACAACGACTGCCAGAGCTACATCAGATGGAGGTGTTGGAACTTAAGAAATTCACATATGGAGCGGCGCCTGGGGGCTCAGTCGGTTAGGTGTCTGCCTTCGGCTCAGGTCAAGGTCTCCTGGTCCTGGGACTGAGCCCTGAGTAGGGCTCTTGCTTGCCAAGGGAGTCTGCTTGTCCCTCTCCCTCTGGCCCTCCTCACCAACACATGCTCTCTTTCTCATAAAGAAATAAAATCTAAAAAAGAAATAAAAATTCATGTGTGGATAATGGTCAGGAAGACCCTACTTGGTGTCAAACCTTCTTCGGGCATGTTATGCACTTGATTTCTTTGGATTTTCTGAACAAGCACGTAGGTTAGAAAGAATGGACCTCATCTTCCAGTTGAAGCCCAAGGCCACATGGAGGGGAAGTATTTTTCCCCTGGGAACAAGGTGCCTACCTGTTGGACTGGGTGGGCCATTATCTTTCCATTTTACCATGCTGTTTCCTTCTTTTCACAATCTGGAGAAGGGTTCCCAGGGCTGGGGATGACTGTGGGGAGAGACGAAGGGAGAACAGGTAAGAAAAAGTCTTTCTCCATTAAAAAAATAAAATAATAAAATTAAAATTTAAAAAAAAAAAAAAGAATCTCTCTCTGCCTGGCAGAGAAAACATTCACAAATGAACTCCCATTAAAAATAGGGTGTCCCACAAGCCTGGTTGGGATCTAAGAGTTATGAGCCACTGTCCAAGTAATTCCCACAGGGACCACATTCGTGAGTCTTGCATTTGGACCGTGTGAGACACAGGCACCAATCCATGGACAGAAGTTCAGAGGGTCTGAGTTGGGAGACCAAGCTTCTGCTTGGAAGCAAAGGACCCCGTGTTCTGGCTGGAAGGATGCTCCTGCACCAGGATCTGGGCAACCAGGGATTAAAATCGGCACTGAATCCCAAAGTTTGTGCAATGTATCTCTCTCCTGTGTTCATCAGGCAACTTTGGACAACATTCTACATGGAAGAAAAGGAACAGAAATTGTGGAAATATGCCAAACTCCTAAGAAGTACCTAAAACTCCCTTTGTGCTTCCAAATCTGAGGAAAACTGTGGACAGGTGCCATAGCTCCATGCAAGAATTCTTCTGTGCATGTACCACAGGTTCGCGTTCATAACAACTGTCATGCTTGACGCGGTATGTGTGAGGCTGTGATTTGTTATTGTGGGAAGGGCACCTTTGTCATCGAACCTGTCTTCCCCTCCTAGAATGCGAGGCCCAGATATGGCGGGAGATTCGGGAGCTGGTCTCCTGGTCAATCCCTTTTAAAAGGTGAACACCCGAGTCTGACTTCCAGACTGCGCCAGAAGCTTTGGCTACTGCTTAGCCCCTCAACCCCTCACCTGAGGATCTCAGCGTGGGCCCCAGACTGACCTTGGACACCTGTGGCCACCTGTCCCTCCCACAGATAGAGATGATGTGCCCAGTAGCCATCTTTTCCTCCCCGCTCCTTATCTGAACCCCTGGAAGCAGGTTCCCAACCCTCCCCCGTCTTGGGGCTGACAGTCTGCACCTTCTCCCCTTCTCCCCTCCTCTCCTGGCTCCTATTCAAAGCCTTTCCACTCTGCTGCCCCTTCCTCCATGGGAGGTTGTAGGACATGCTGTCCTGCTCCTGCCCTGCTCAGAGGCTCACCCTGGACTCATGCCCTATGTCTGCAGATGGAGGAGAAGGTAATGGACTGGAGGCCACATTCGGCTCCTTTGTAGTCAGTCCCAGGGTGGGTTCCCCTTGTCCCTGTAGGAGGACCGTGAAAGGGCAGGGGATACAGGGAAAAAGAAAATAGGAACAGAAACCACCTCTGCCCCACCCAAACCCAAAGAATGTTCCCTGCATTCCACAGTAACCTCTTCACTAGTTCTGCCAACCTCCAACAAGCACTTCTCCTAGCCCTGCTCAGTAGGGAGCTCACCCGAGAGTGGGATCATCTGGTCCCAGGGGAGTCCGGGAGAAGAGGGAGACTTGCTGTATTACAGGGCTCCCGTAGAGCTCCCACACTGGCAGGAAGAAGGAAGTGTGAGATGGATATCCAGTCCCATTTCTTCTCTGTGACCATTTCTTCTGCATGTGACAGCAAACCTGCCTCACTTGCATGTCTGCTGGGGACATGGGGTCTGGCTGACTAGCTCTCCTGGCCTCCAGTCCCCCTAGGCCTGCCTCAGACCCACGCTCCCTCTAGCCTCTGGACCCAGCCCACAGCACTGTCCTGCAGGCCTGGGTCTCACCCCAGAATCCTCTGGCCCTCTCCCCCATACTCAACTCAAATCAGCCTCCTGACCTAGCCTCTCTTCTCTGCTTTAACTGTCATCCAGACTTTCTAGCTATAGCAGCCTGGAAGGTACTATTTTCTGAAACGGGTCAATGAGTTGGGCATAGAAGCCACAGAGCCCCATGTCTTCCTTTTTATGCTTAAGAGATGGGACTGAACTGAAATTCTGTCACAATGTCAAGGCAGAGAGAGATCCTGATCTGTGTCCCCTCAGCTGTCAGATCATGTGTGACCGACGACAGAAGCAAGGAACAAGAATTAGGGGTCAGACATGAACTCTGAGTCACCCCTTCTCGTTGGTTCAGCTCTTACCATGTGCACCGCTTAGGACCTTAATTCACCTAACATAGTTGACAGGGGATCGATTATGGAGAGGCCATGAGTAACGATGGGCTTTTTCACCAGGACACCCCCTAAAGCTTTCTGCGTGACTCCCTTTCCTGAGGCTCTTCCTAGATGGAATCAGCAGGATCTCAGTCACCAAGGCAGGGAGGGCTTTGCCCTGAGCCCATTCCCTGAAGCCCTGTTCCACTGCCCCAGCCTCCTACCGCCTTCCAGCCCGTTGCTCTGGTCGGTGCCCAGCACACTTCGGACTGATGAGTACAGGATAGGAGGCTCCAGTCAGCCACCCCCGAACAGCCGTTCTCAACAGATTTCCAGGACTGCGGACCAAAAATTGTCCCTGTTATTACAAACAACATGTTCTGCCCTAGGGCACAGAGACCATTTAAGAATCAAAACTGTTCACTCACTCTGGACAGCCAAGTTCTATAAATCTAAAGCAGCTGCTTTGGAAGCTTTTGGTTGCATAAAAAAGTCTGGATGGTCTGATAACCGCCAAGTCACAAATGTTTATGTAACTGCAAGAGTTGCTCCCACTTCTATTTTTCAGATTTGTGAGGTGAGCATAACAAATCCAGCTTGCTGTCTCCCTTCTTTGAAAGAGAATATTAAGAACATCCAATCTTAAAATGTGGTTAAAAAAATATCAGTTTCAGAATTTCAGCCAGGTCTTTTTTGCAGCCATGGGTTGGCAATCGACCACCAGGGACTCTGTTGCTTGAAAAAGATAGGATCCACTGAGCAGGGAGCCTACTTCTCCCTCTGCCCTTCCAGCTCACTTGTGCTCTCACTCTCTGAAATAAATAAATACATATTTTTTAAGATTTTATTTATTTATTTGACAGAGATCACAAGTAGGCAGAGGCAGGTGGGGATGGGGGCATGGGGGTGAGGGCATGGGGGTGGGGGAAGCAGGCTCCCTGCTGAGCAGAGCAGGTCCCTGGGATCATGACCTGAGCTGAAGGCAGAGGCTTTAACCCACTGAGCCACCCAGGCAACCCTAAATAAATCTTTTTAAAAGAGAAAAATAATTACACTAATTATAGTATAAAC